TATCTTCCTTAGTAGAAACTGGAGCTGAAAGGTAAGACGTAAATCTCCTTCCTATTTCTATTATATTCCCATTTAAAATATAATCGTCAAGCTAAGTATATCATTGACTTTTAGTTGTGATTGGAAACGCTCCAATAGGTTCATAACTCAGATCGTTGAAGTTTATTGGAATTTGAAAACTTCATTGAAATTCAAAGACAACATCGCCAATTTATCTCAGAAGCCATTTATTGCTATCATTTTCACAACTTAAAACATTAGCCACAACGATGCTGTTTAATTTACGACCATTTGATAGCCGATAAAATGTTTCGTGAGCAAAAAACGATTGGGCGAATGATTGAAACATTTGACGTATCCATTCAGGGCTAATTGCATGAATAAATGAGCAATTATTTGAAAGAATCGTCAGAGATAACATTTTTTCGTATGCACGAAGCGGGAAGTTAAAATGAAACAATATTGCTCTAAACGATTTAAATGACCTCTTAGAAATGTACAATGTGCGATAAAGACATTAAGCTATTTCCCCAATGTACATCAAGCAATTGTTTGGCGTGGAATTAAAGTCTGCAATGCAGATGTATTTGTCAGAATCAGGATATTACGTAATTCTCTTAAGATTTTTAAATTCTTTAACTGTGAATCCGTGATTCGCTTTCTATTAAGTTTGCATTTTTTTTACTTTTCTACACTAAATGACTAAGACAATTACCGAATGATTTTCTCTTAAAATGACTTAACGAAGTTATTGTGTTTTAACAAAAACCTTTGAATTCCAAATTATAGTATTACACAAATCATTTTCTTGTGTGTATTTCTTTTAGAGACACTTAAACTTGCGTTGATCTGTAGAGTGTCTCTCGTGACATATTATCTCACATCTTTAGCGTTCCCCAAATGTACGTCACTGTATTGTGCAATGTAACAATAGTGTTATACGAACTGATCTTGGGTGGACCTACTAAAGAGATGTTTATAGTTTAAATTTGATCTTAAAGTGGATACTTGTATTTTTATTGTGTCGGAATACAGAGTCATAGTAATTGATTACGTATGATAGAATTTAGATGGACGAGGATGGCATTGTAAGTGTGGGAATAGTGCGATCTGTTAAATTAGAATGAAAATTGAAAGGAAAGAAGAAGGGATGTATTAACTAATTTCCTTAATAATAGTCTAGTAGTGACCTCGGTAGATCTCGACATTCAATCAATGAGAATTGGTGACCAGAGCTATTGTGGTCAGTAATTTTCTCACTATCGACCACCAAGTATACAAATTAACAAAATGATGTTAGAAAGTTGGAAGTGGTCTAACTGTCATGCTCGTTAGTTGATTCTGTCTAAACATATTTAATAACCTCATCTGTGCTTACAGTTCATAGGGGCACTTCGTGAGCTGTCGAGCAAATCGAAAGTAGAATTTCTCAAGAATGTCATGACCGTGTATTTGATTACCTCCAACGTTATGTTTGGAAAGACTTCACTTGTAACCGTAACACAGTTTGTTGATGACATGCGAATATTGACGTTTAGTCATTGACCAGGTGCATTAAGACAATTTACACCACGTGATCGCACTGTTCAATATGGCTGCCATTCATAAAGGTCTAATCTATTTACATGGTAGACTATGGACACTAACGGTCAAAATACTTTGTCAATAGAACCGGCTACTTGACGTGTCTAATTGACGAACACTTAAGATGACAAGGCAATCTTTGATTTTAAGATAATCTTTGGTATGGCCTTCGAGGGGAAAGTCATTTTGATAATCTAATAACACTCTTATTATTTGTTCCTTATCACAATAAAATCACTGGCCGTTTGGATATGATTATATTTGTTTTAGACGAAAAGGAAGACGTAGGAAGGCTCAAGCTGTTTGTGTTATGAATTTCCAGGGATCTAATTAAATTGTTGACAAGTTGACAAACACGAGTATGTGTGTAAACAAATTATTTCTCTTTGATAGATTATGAAAGGTACTTCAAAAGTGAACAGTATTTGTGACAGGTATGAATATGTTGACTGGGAAAGACTGAAAATCAAATGGACATTCGAACGCAAAATGTCTCTTCTAATGATATTTGTGAAGGGTTTTTCACGAAATTACGAAATACAACAATTTTGACAGCAATAGAACATATTACAAAAACAATTACAGAGGGTACAACTATTGCATTCTCCTCGGGTATTGGGTTGATACCAGCATAGGTTGAAAATGTACCTGCCTTGGTTCACCGTTTTCTGTACTCTTGTTTTCCTTTTAATACACTCATTTCAATCCTGTCATACGCCATGAGTTCGACATGAAACACCAGAAATAATATTAGGGAAGTCAAAATTAAAAAACCACACTTTAACCTCAGTGATATAATGAACAAGGTAATTTATAAATAATTTTATTATAAATATAATTTATAAACAAGTAAAAGGTTTTAAAAGCATTAAACACATTTAAGCAAAAAACGCTTATCTTAAAATATAAACCACTTTCACACAACGCTAATAAAAACATTTATAATGGTAGAAACAGGAATGGGTTGAAGAGCATTGGCATGGAGGATCCTTAAAACATCATAGTGTGTAATAAACAATCAAAGTTTTTCGGAATTCTGTTCTTTGATTAGAGATTTCTTAAACTTTTAATGTTTGTAAAGTTTCGAGTGTGTGATGAATCTCTCGAACTTCATATATTAATCTTGTAGTCGTATCTGAGAAACCGAAAAAAGTTATTTACTACAGAAAGACTGAAACAGAACAAAATCTTAACCAAACACCATATTAAAGGTACAACTGATTACGTGGAGCAACAACTCGGCAGGTAATTTTAACATCCTTCAGATAAAATTAAATTGATTTACGTTTAGAAAAGTTATTTACAAGTATAACCTAAAATCACAAGACATTGTTGGCGTATATTAATTTTATAGTATTCTCTCTTGAAATAATATAAACATTAAAATATTCAGAAGTCTTATCAAAAAATATGAAAAATTCATATTTACATACTGATATTACTTTTTTCTTACAGAATATTATATAAACTTTTGATAAGTAAAACAGAATAACAAAAAGGATAGGCTACATAAAATCAATTGTATTTGAAAACAAGTTGTAGGCCTTACTGAAAGTTTTTGACCTCACAGACGTATTGTATACCATTAAGAAATAGATAACAGGTCCATGCATCATATACTGTAGAGAGCTCAATCTTTTTGCTGTCTTTGTCTAATTTTGCTTAGCGTTTTCTCGGGTTGTTCATACGTCTAAGTAAAAACAATGGATTGGAACCCACATCATAGTCAGATTTTATAATTAGCATTAACATTTGTAATGTGGTAATTAGACAAGGTGTCTTTTACCGAAGAGTTTTTATTATTACTATTTGATTACGTCTCAGCTTAGTTTTTCGTTCAATGTCATTGTCTTCTTGTAATTTGTGGAGTTTCTTGCAGCTTGATTAAATGTCAAGAACAATTTCCATGCATTTAGAGTCTAGAATGAGTTCAATCCGTCTGGTAAACAAAACCAATTGAAATATCCAATTCTTAAGAAGTCAGACCCTTCAAATCAACTGAAAAATTATGATGATTACATTCACAGCTTTGAAATCATCTGCAGACGACCATCGTCTATAGCATTAATATATAACAATTATAATATTAGTAGAAAGGGAGGGTGTAAACGAGTAACTAAATTGAGATTCTTAATATATAAAAGCAATGAATTCATTTTCTAGAGAGGTTTTAACATTGTAATATGAAGTATATGCTGATACAGTTTAAAATCCTATATTTAACTGTCGTTTTCAGAGAAAACAAGTGACAGATAAAAAGTAACATCTCTGACTGACTAGAAATTCAGATATAAATGTACATATGAATATGTATATAAGTTAAATATTTAAACAATGATGTATGTACAATAAATATATAAAAAAAAAACAAGAAGTAAAAAATCACAACACTCAATCACACCTCCTTGTGATGATCATTCTGATGATTACAAAATAATGATGAGGCATTTGACCGAATATTTGCCTTGTGCTTATCCGTATGGGTTGTACGTAACGTAACCAATAAAGTTTACTGATGATTTGGGCTGATGGCTTACTTCATTATGCATAATATGAAGATAAAATATTCTGATGATTACAAAGTAATGATGTCGGGATACAATAACGCCGATTAGATCTGGTGGCAAACTTTTCTGATGAATACAATTGAACAAAGATCTTGTTTGCCATAACCATACTACTGATTAGCTACAAATACCGCTTTTTGCATGCATATTATCCCAGTGATTGCATGAATAACTGATGATTCATCAAAACTGATTTTTTTTTAGCTCTAAATGAAGTAACATTAAAGTACGCTTTAAAGATCATGGGTTTAAGATATATAGATGGGTAGTATGAATAATACATAAGCTTTTATCAGTCCTAATGATTAAGATAAAACATTGAATAGAATGAATTTTAAAACAACCAGTTACATGGTTTCTTCTTGAATTCATACGAAGCTTTATTTATAGCAGTCGGTGGATGATAGATCTTCCTTTTCGGTGTTGTTATGTGTAACCATGAACTGAGCAGTGTCATTTCATCCATTGTTGCTAGCTTTGATGATGTCAAAGACACACTCGTGTAATCGAGATAACGTAAAATATTATGCATCAAAGAAATTCATTGAACCATATTCTGTATAACCGTCGCACAACCATGAATTCCTACTATACATTTTCAGGTCGAACTTTAGTATTTCGCAAACAAAGATGTGTATTTCATTTTATCCTCTGTATTTCACACATGCTTCACACATCTCGACTAGAACAGCTTTTCTGTACATGAGTCGTTTTAACAGTCAGCGAATGTAAATTATGAGGTAAATTTCACATTCATAAAACAGCTTTACAGCACTCCAAATAGACCTAGCTTGAGCAAGCAGCACTTATAAACGTTACCAACAACATTTACAAAAGAAGTTTTTCAATTTAAAATGGGTACCCTTTAGCAGCAGACTTTATTTTACTGAGTTCAATTGTTGGGTATTCACTTATGTCTGCATCTGCTGGTTTGTACACGATCCTTCCACTAGAGCCACCTAGTGGGTGTTTTCTTATGTGTCCAACAGTGCCAGGAATTTGTTTATGGTCTTTCGTATATTTACTGATATTATGTAGCGAGGCACTAGGACCTTCCTTTTTCGGGGCTCGAGGTTTTGGATATGTTGAAGTATAAGCAATTTGTTTTAATTGGTCAACTTGATCGGCAAAACAATATGGCGGTGGAGGTAAAAAATCTTCAAAGTCGGGACTTAAACTTACTTGACATTTTCTATAGCTTCCATCACCACCTGAAAAAAATAGACATCATTTTTTCATTAAAATAGCAACTCAATACTTCAGTTTGATTTCCTTTAGAGAGATGACCAAGGTCACTTTTATGAATGTTTCTATCGTCAAAGGTAGCCTTTCAGTCTTTTTTTTTCCTGTTTACGGGGGATGATAAGGGTATACTTGTGCCAACGATTCGTTAGCACAGGAACTTCATACTCATCGCATGATATAATTGCTGTTGGACAATTACAATTAGTTTTTCGATTGTTTGTGTTCATCGAGTGCAAAGTAATTATCCCCGATCGAAACTTAGTATGTTCGATCGCCAACAAATAATCGAGGCCGAGAAATATTATCTTCGATCGAATGGTACTTAAATTAGCAGTCTGTGTTTTTAATACGTCGAAAAATGTAGGTGCTCAAGATCTAGAGATGTGTATCCCTTACACTATCTGTAAGTTTCAAGATCCGTTAAAGATGGGTTCCCTTATATTCATTTATGAAAATGAAAATGCTAATACTTATATGAATAGAAAGTAGATGTGTTCTAATGACTTGGAAAAATACCAGTATGTCCATAATTAATTCATAATTGGCTAAATTAGATGAGAATTGCCAGCAGAATTTCAATAAGTGACCGATCAAGAAAGGACAAAAAGTCTTTTTGGTTTATCCAGACTATAGATACGTACAACTCTTAATTATATGCAATAAGAACATATTGATGATTAAGAATATATGATAATTCATTAAAACACGAATTAATCAAATAGTTTGCTTAATTTGACACCAAAAAATAAGGAAATCCATCTTTAATTTTAAGAACGACAAAACTATCTAAAGTGCCTCACGACATATCGTTTGTTGCGTGTACAGTATTTTTTTTATTCGCTAACAATAGGCACAGAAAAGAACAGTTTTCTCCATTTTGTGCTCAAACCATAGCGGTAATCAGCTGCGTATGGTCCAATCGCAACTCACATGCAACTCATACATTTTATACGTTTGAGGTACCCGACAAGCACGCATTTGATCGGAAACACACTTTAATATTTTCAATAAGACACTAAACGATCAATTTCTTTCTCTTTTTTTATTTTCGGATTTTTAATATTTAACTAAATTTAAACTCTAATGGGACAGTAACTTTAACTTTACTTTAATATTTGGATCTATTTATAAAAGACCAAAATATAGGTTCTGATGACATTCGTCTAGACGATATTTACTGAATTTATTTCCGTTAAATTTTCATATCAAATCTCTATTACTGAGCTTTAGCATCCAATTAGTTTAGTTTACCCATGATTTGATATTGTTTTCACGAGTGTGTCACTGGATAGTTTCTATGTTGCTACAGGCAAGGCTATGGGATTTCAAATTAGAATCTATTTAGAAACTGAACTTTTAAACGTAATAAAAAAACGGCATGTTGTTTTTTTTAATTCAGTATCTCGTGATCTTATTAAAAAAACTTTTGGGTCATCTCACTCATCAGCAAACCACGGTACATCGCGCATAATTGTAAGAAATATCCAAAATAAGGATTAAGGCTTTGGATGATAATCCAATGCATATATGAGCCAGATATCTATCTACCAAACCAACGAGTATGCACAATCACCAACTGTGGACAAGACCATCCTTTTTAGGACAGAAACTACCATATTTTTCAAGGTAGGATCTTTTGGAATAAGGAGAGAAGAGTTTCACACGCTGACCAAGATTAGAACCAATGAATACCATTTGTGGTGATCTCGTTTTCTAATGTCGATAAAGATAAAGATCTTACCTGCTAAAATTGTAAGATGGATCTCATCCTCGCTTGCACCTCTACCACTGTCACTTGCTGTCTCACCAGAACTGTTACTTCTAACTTCGGCTTCATTACCAACAACTAACTTTGACTGAAAAAATAAACGATACCCATCGGTGTGAAGGCGAACTATTGTAACATAATTATGTTGATGACCCATTGATAAGAGAAGACGACAAACCACGTGGAAGATAGATATTGGTGTAGCGGATACGTTGTTTGTTAAGAGCATTAGCATGGGAAGAAATACTGGTTCTATCATATGTGTAAATTATGATGAATTCCCAAAAATGCGTTCATTACGTTAAAAATATATTCATGGCTTGCCTTACTCATTCATTTTAAACAATGCCATTTATCATATTTTGACACTATATTTGGAAAATTCAATACGAGACACAGCATGAACAGTACTGCCATTTTTCATTGTTCAGTAGTTAATGATAGGTAGGCTAGTGGACGAAGGAAATAGATGAGTTCGTATCATCGTGTGTTTACTGTCACAGTCGGCTACCAATTATTATGCCATTTACTCCTGCCTCCATATAAGTGCTTTACATTTATCACAATTATAACCTCATGACGCAAGCTTCCTATTGTTTTAAATTATGACCTTTTTGATCCTTAACTGAGGATGAAAAATGTCACAGTTTTCATTTTTGATAATGAGAAATAAATTTGAGTTTAACGTCCTACTTTTCTTGAACAGATCTATGTTAATGAAAAAGGACAACTTCGTTCATTATGCAATGGGTAAATCATGACCGAAGTATTAGTGTCGATTTCTAACCGTCCTAGAATCTTTCATGTGTACACCTAGTAGCACAAAGGACTTTTGAACAACACGATTCTTCTTGCAACCTAAGTGAATATGGGTTTAGGCATTATGGAAAGTGAAATGACATGAAACGAAAGTAGTTGTAGATTGTATGTTTTCCTATGTTCTCTCTATAGCTCACAGACACAACAAATATTGATTGATCCACTATTACGCTCAACATATTCCGAGGAACTGTGTCCAATGCCTTGATATTCGGCGATCCGATTGGTGTAGGTTATGATATTAGAAGGGATTGAAAAGTCACGCTGATTCAATTTTAAGGTATTTCGCCTCATTGTCGAATTGAATTGAGTCCCAGAACAGCAGCAAGAACCTCCTCATTTTCGATTTTCAACTGTCGACAGGTCTTTAATGGTCACAGCCTGTAGCACATGAGGCCTTGGTTTGGTATCCCATCAAGACGCCTTTTTCATAAGCCGCAATGATTAGACAAACCAATTGAGTCAAAGGAAGGGCCATCTTTAAAAACTTAATTTCTTTAAATCGATTAAAGTCATATTTAAATTTTAATGCTGTTATATATGAAACGATTAAAAAACCTTTAAAATCAGCGGGGGTAAATTGGAATCAAAAGAAAATAAAAATGTGCTTTACTTCTTTGTACCTGATCGAGCTAATGAAAATGGATGAATAGAAGAACTAAAGTCACTGTTCCGGATACCTTGAGTAATAAATTATTTATTCGTTTTGTCTTATTTTCATATCCAGGCATTATAACATTGAACCACTAAGTTCATTCTTTGTGTTAACAAAAGCGTTCAGAAAGTAACTCATTCGATTCTATTCATAACTCGGCAACAAATGAATCCGGAATCATAAATTATTTAAGGGTTTTATTATATTTCATATTTTTTGGTATTGTTCGAGTCTCATTATTCCAAACTAAGATGACAATTTATTGTCTTGAAGTCTCCAGCGAATACAAATAAAGTTTGCTTTTATCGGAAAAAATGTTTGTGTGAAATTATGATCAATATTGAACAAAAGTTGTTTAATGGCATCCACATAAGAAGGTTCTTAATAAATCTTTACACATTAATCTGCTTAATTGTATTGAACCTTTGGAAACGGACGCTAAGTGTAGTCTCCTTTATCAGTATCAAAGTTGCCTTTCATCAAGACAGTTCGATTTGAATTTCGAATAATATTGAGCTTCGCACATGCATTATGCTACTAGTTGCCTTGACTGTCATCGAGGAACTTCTCTTGCCTTTTATGTTTAATATTTAGGGCCCATGCCCACGAACTTAGTTTACGATGCCAAAAAAAATCATAAGACAGACAGAAGCAATAATATGTGCGCCAGTCACGTATACGGATGCTTACTGCAAGATGATAATAGCTAGCATTTTAGACAATGGTTTTAAATTTTCACTTTACTGCATTAATTTCAACACTGTCTGGTTGACAAAGACTACCTTCAAGGAGTTACTGTTTCCTGTATTGTCTAATTAAAAGAAATTTTATTAGGGGGAGGAAATTCTTACCTCACAATAAATGATGGTTCGTAACGTGTAATTACTATAAAAAATTATTGAAAAAAGTTAAAGTAAATTCCACTGCAATACCTATAAAGGCATATCCAAAGATTCTGAATTTTGTGAGATTCTGAACAGCATATTCTGAAAATTTCTCGAATATTTCACCATGGAGCAGTAGAACTTTTACTGGATACCACTGGGTCTATGTTCATTTATTTTCCTAATTTGGATGTAACCATTTCTGACTTTGAGCGCGATTTGTGGTCAAGATCAGCTTTGTTTTTGCATTTCGAGAACATCTCACCGACCACCCGAAGTCACAAAAATTGTAACTCTTACCCATAATCTCTTCCCATAATTGATGATTATGATTGTGTTGTATTGTTAATATAGAAAATGCTTTTAATGAAAGTTTTTTGTTGTTCAAATCAAATACACGTAGTTCTACAATCTTAAAAAATACTTTGAAAATATGACAGTTTATTGTACTGTTTTACTGAAAAAAATTAGGTCAGAAAATAAAATTGTGCCTTGAGCAAAGTGTTAACGGAAGTTAGTCTGACTAATATACAAAAGATCATCGAAATAATAGAGGTAGACATTTAAATGTTAATGGAAGTCTTAAGAAAATCATAGCCATTCACTGCTCTCTATAACAAAGCAAAATCAACCTGTCATTCGCCCCGGTTTAAGAATTCCAGAAACTTCACATGGTGCTGACGACAAATACACTATACAATACAATATTAATTAGGTGAATGTACATTTCTTCTTCAACGAAACATGTATGAAACAGAATAATGCATGTACAAGAAGTAAAAAAGTCTCTTCTCAGTGCTTAGTCAATCGGACCAAACACTTTACGTAGTATCGTTAAGGCATCAATGTCGAAGAGTTCAATAAGCTTCCCTTCTGCTGACGACATTGCACTATACAATACAATAAGAACGATATGAAGGCCCATGTATCTCTACGTCTACAAAACAGGTATGAAATCGACTCATAAGTCCAAACAGTCGAAAAAGATTTTTTCCTCGGTCAGTATTTTGTCATTTTGGTATTCAAACGGACCCAATACTTCTCAATATAATTTCTTAAGCATCATTCTTCGAGCCAACTTAAAGACGTTATCCTCCAGACACTTCTAATATCGCTTGTTGCTTTCCTCATTTTGATTACCCTACACTTTTACGATTAACCCCAGATATTACATTGTAAGCGTTAAATGGTTTGGTAAAATCAATGGTATATCGCATTTTTTTAAACATTAACTTTAAAAGGTGCGAAGTCTCGTTAGTTATTAAGTCAATAGTTTCAATATAATTACCTAGTCTCGCTTTTAAAAGACATAATATTCTTTCTTTATTAAACTTTTTTTGACGTCTTGAAACCAATTATTATGTTAAGAAAGGTTATAATGTTAACTACCATGATGAAATGTTTCATTGAAACTGATCATGTTATTGATGTCTCGAAAATATTTCATTATTTTCCTTTAAAAAGATACGAGAGACCGTACATTGAACTATTGTGTTCATGAAGAAATAACGTTAGGAGACATGCACACCACACCGGACATCGTAACTATCTACAACTTTACTATGATTTTCTGGGCGAAGCAGCACTGTTTTAAATCTGTGTTGTAAAAGGTGGTAATTCAAGCAAACTTAGATAACTGGGAAGATCTTCAATCCGAAAGGTAAAAATGGTCAATTCTCATGATAATGCCTGGAGCAGTTCTTAAATAAAACCTTTAATGGATAAAAATCGAAATCTTTTTGCCTTAATATGACACATTTAAGACCATGATTAGCTTAAGTGGCATGGTAGAGATTTAAATTGGTATTAAAACATTCTATTGCGGATGCATGAGTTCGATTTTCGAGGCGTTTTTATTGCGACAATCCACTTGATTAAGAACAATTCGACTGTTATAATATTATGAATGACTCATCTGAACTCCTATTATAATATTAATGTATCCGATTTTCTTTAAAAAATCGAGTTTTACACTGAATAATGGAATGTCAAAATGCAATCAATTAGATAGAAATTCCACTTCAGAAGATTTTCTGTCTTCTCTCTAAGAATAAAGATGGTGTTCTCAGCAAAACACAGTGTCTCTCTGTAGGGGTCAATATAAAGTGAGACTAGTCTTAATAATTGTATCGTTGCACCAGTATCCAGTAATTTTGCAGTCTGAAAATATATATATTTAGAAACTTTCCTGTCACAGAATGCATTTCGTTTTGATTAAATATAATAGTATATATGTAGTATTAAAAAGCTCAATTACCTATAATGTCACTGATTTTTATTGAAACACAAAACAAGTTTTTTAGTTCGTCATATCGATAGAAAGAGTTTTAATAAAGTTTTGATAGGCCATGACTCACGGTTTCAATTTACTACAGAAATTATTTCAAAATTCAATCAAACTGCAGTTGAATGTTATGGCTTGATAAACTAACTAAATTATGAAAATTATTTGCAATCCAATTCTAGGGCTAAAATAACAATTTTCGTAACCTCCAATTTATTTTTCATCCAATTACTTTACAGTTGGTACTCTTAATGTCTTTTAACATTATGCATGCGTGGCTGGGTCGAATGAACACGATCATATTCAAGGATTTTCGAACATTTCAGTGAAAATGGTCGAATGGTATTTTACACTTGTAATTTGATTATTATGTATCTACTCGCTCATGTGATTAAATAAGAGACATAATGTATCAAATATCATTTTGATGGTATGTTGATCAAGTGTAATGAGAAACCCAACAGTAGTTCGTGCATAATGTAGGGTGGGATAGAACGTTAGTATCACGTAACTATCGTAGCGTAGCGGATGTATGAATTTGCCTTCATCATATTATATCATTGAATTATACTCATTGTTATAATAAAAGCTACACAGCGAGAAGAAACGGGCGAGGGGTTAGGGGCTCATGTTGTCGTTGCGACTGGCAGATTCTGTGAGTAACTGGACTGTCAACTACTGCTAGCAACACGTTGCATCTTTGAAAATCTATCCACCTGATCTAAGATAACTTGTTATTAACATTCCAATTTCTTGGGATTATCATATTTATTCAAAAGACTTCCGTACATGTATAGCATGCACTTCTTTGACCTTATCTGTAATTTCATATAATTTTCTTTAATAGTATTTTTTTGGTGCAAATACCAGATCGATTTCAACTAGTCATATTTTTAATTATTATTTACAACTTCCACAATTCAGCTTTTTGTAATAGTAAAAAGCACACAAGATATGGTAGCTGGTTACACCCGATTTGGCTTCAAATGGGAAATGTCTCCGAGCTGAAACAGTTTAGTTTCATTCTGTAATCATATGGCATTAAAATTCAATGAGCAAGCAGAAAAAATAGATCCATTTAAATGTCAGTCCATCAAAGAACACAAAGGATTATTAATCTTTGATATACGGAAGTTCAGACTTGCAATTTTTTTCAATTTATTAGTCCCTATGGGAGATTTAATTCAAACTCCGTTTAAAGAGCACAATTTTTTTCTGAATCATACATTTCTATTACACATCAAAAGGCCCATGACTCGTCTAGTGGACAAGATTGTTCTCGGGGTCTTTCCTTTCTGTTTTTGCTCATCTGATGATGGCAATGTCAAGGCCTCCTAAACGATAACGCAAGGCTACACTGTTCTGAAAAAAATCAATTGCCATTATTTTTACGGACCCCAAAGATACCTTTTTCCTAACACCGTTTATAGCTCTAACTAGATGTACTTTATACAAATATTGTACAGAGTAAGGATATTCATAAGTATTTATTTTCTCAAATAATTGACTTGCTTAGTACCTATTTGCGTTGATTTGCACGTGATACTAAATCTGGAACGTATGTTTACAGACCTGTTATTTGGTGGAAATGGAATAATTTCAGCTTTATGAATAATGCTAATTAAAATGTTGTAATTACGAGTCGATCTGACGAAGCTATTTGTAGTAATGTTAGGTTGTCAACACATTGAGCTGTCACATCGCGTGTCTCTGTGACACAAATAACACGTAGGATACAGTGGAAACTGTTTGCAGGATTAGTTACGGAATCTGATAATGGTCTCTGATTTATTATTTCCAAGCTTTGATCTTTTGTGTCTGTCTGTGAAAAATTAGATATTAATGTTTTGAATCAGATAAAACATTGTAAATCTGTCGAATAAAGATGTTCTGTTGCACGATTCCCATGTGTTACACGTAGAGATAAGCAACTAATTAGCATCTCATCTTCATTCTATGTCACACTTCAGATGCGATACAGGACGATTAGAAGAAAGCTGATTGCACATATTATGATGGTAAGCTTGGGAGGAAACTAGAAATAAGGAAACGTCATTGTTTCGAAGTACAGTTCGATATAACGCTTTTAATCTATTTAACATGTACCGTTAATTTAAGTATCAACAAAAATTATTTGTATAGAACCTAACAGGAATTAACAGTGTAGCGCAATTGTATATGTTCATCGCATTCATAGAGAATAGATGAGCAGAAGTAAATTAATTATTGTTACAAATAAAAGGAAAATTTTGCAAAATATTACTGCGTGATATTGATCTATTTCTATTCATGTCTAATTGAGACAATGACGATTACGTTTGAGTAATTATTGTTATGTTTTTTATGCCTGTGTTAAGACAAAGGATCAAAACTGAGTTGATTTCTCCCAAGAGAACCAACACTACTTTCTCTTTGTGCCATATTTACATGAAAAGACGTTAATTAGCGTAAAGGTCGGTCTCGGTACCGATGACACACAAAATTGTATTGTTCTGATTGTAAATTGGGAATTTAAGGAATTCGGTCGTCTTTACAGTTGAATTCCAGCTACTATTTAATATTCAAGTCTACCATATCAAACAATTAAAACGCAAAAAATCAAGTATTTTACAGATTTGCAAAATCATATTATGATTGTCTGGTATTTAAAAGATAAATCCTGAAGGACTCCTCAAACGAAAAGTACCACCAGGTGTTTCTAAAAGAGTAAGCATGGTTTGCTTCTCACGAGACATTCGCCACTTCTATAATGGTCAACATCAATAGATACAACCAGATCAATTCATGTTTAACAGAACTTGGGCGTTTTTATAGTGGAACTCAAATGTAATGTAACAAGGTTTTGGGTCCTGAACATCCGCAGTATTTGAGTTACTCTCACTTGTTTATTCCAGACGAAAATATTGTTAAAAACATTTATCTGAGCAAATGTTACTTAATATTACGATTATTACCAAGAGGTTTGAGAGTATAAAATATTTCAAATGTCTTAACCTACTTTTGACTTAGTTCTTTTCTAATACAACTCGCAAAAATTACAAATTTTCTCAACAAATGGGATTTTGTATTTCGTTAATAATTCCTACTTGGATTTTCTTCACTTTTAAGGTTAGAAAAAACGGATTTGACCTACCTTTTTAAAAGTTAGAAATTCTTGCTTTCCATATTGGTCTGTGCCAGGTGGCGCTGAATAGTAATTGCCATCAGGTGATTTAGTGAGCGTGAACTTCGGGTCTTTGTCCATTTTTGAATTGGTAAAGAACTCAAAATTACTATCACTTTCCGTGGTGGCCAAGATGACACGTTTTGGTGAATTGGACTTCAATGCGTCCTTTTCATTGGTTTTGTCCTGGTCACCTTGTTCCTGTACAGCGCCGCGATCATTGTTACGCCTGTTGGTGCTACGAAGTTTAATAATAGCCACTACTATAATAATAGAGACTATAATAGTGATTCCTGCTACTACTCCGACGATTATCACATATTTAAATCCATATACTTCCTGTTGTCTAGCAGCCAAAGTTGCGTTTGTGAAAATAATCTTAATCTCAAGATTTTGACGTTTTTCTAATTGCGGCGATCCTAAATCATGCACAGATACTTTAAGAAGTAATCGTTCTCTGTCGTCGGGAGTAATTCGTCTGGCTAAAATGACTTCGCCATTTCTGGGAGACAGTTTAAACATAGATTGTGAATTTTCGTCCACAAAAGAGTAAGAAAGTTCAGCATTTTCAGCCAAATCATCATCATAAGCCATTATCTTGGCGACAATACTTCCTGGAGTTAAATCGGAAACCACAATAACGCTATCATTATCCGAATTGGGAAACTCGATGACAGGATGATTATCGTTCACATCAAGTAAATGAACTCTTACGTGACCGCCAGAAGATAATGGGTAATCGCCGTCATCGGAAACAGTTACGTCAAACTCGTAATGATCAAGTGCTTCCCTGTCCAATTGACGACTTGTTCTGATCGTTCCGTCTTTGAATACAACGAATGGTATGCGAGGGTCCGTATCAGTTAATCGGAAACTTAATCTGGCATTTTTACCGGCATCTAAATCTCTTCCGATTAATTTACCGACGTCTCCTCCGATTGGGATGTTTTCCGGCACTTCAATTCTTAAGCTATCAGCCTCGATGGTTGGCGTGTTGTCATTTACGTCTAAAATGTCAACTATAACCGTGGTAGTGCCAACTAATGACTTGTCCGTTTGATCTACAGCCTTAACTGTAAATTTCACTTGTGTCATTGTCTCCCTGTCAAATACAGCATTAGTCGTAATGATTCCCGTGTCATAGTCTATCTTGAACATGGAGTTTGAGTCCCAAGTTAACTGATATATGAATTGGCTGTTAACACCCAAATCGAGATCTAAAGCCTTCACTCGTAAAACTTCGACACCCTCCCCCATACCTTCAGTCACACTTGCATTGTAAGAGGAACGTAAGAATTTTGGCGCCATATCATTAACGTCAGTGACTTCGACGTTGAAACTCACGTAAGATGAAAGTCGAGGTGTACCAGAATCTTCACAAATTATGTCTACTTTATGTTTATCAGTATCTTCCCGATCAAGTACTTTGCTTATCATAAGGGCATAACCTTTACTTTCGAGTTTCTGCACTCGAAAAAATGGATTTTCAGAACGACATATGACAACGCCGTTCGAACCAGGGTCTCGATCTTCAACTTTAATATGCCCAACAAACATGTCAATCTTTGATCCTTCTTTCAACAATATTGTGTCGGCATTAACAGGGGACTGGAGATTTAGTTTCAATTTAGGTGGATTATTTCCAGTATCAACTATCCTGACATGAAGCACAGTCTGAGAAACTTGAGGCGGATTACCATTGTCTGCGGCCTCAACAATTGTTTGATATGATTTGCCCGACTCGTACTGCAGTTGTGATTTAACCGTTAATTCGCCTGACACTGGGTTGATAGACAGCAAATCTTCTAATCTTCCCGGTCTTAAAGGGCTAAATCGGTATGACACGCGACCATTTTCACCAATGTCCTTATCAGTCGCTTTCACTCGACCAATGATTGAATTGACTCCAGTGTTTTCTTTCACGTTAAAATTGTATTTCTGTCTTCTAAAAACTGGTTTATTGTCGTTTATATCTCGCACATTCACGTTTATAGTCACGCTTCCGGTTTTTTGTGGGCTTCCACCGTCTTTAGCAACGACGAAGAAATTGTAAAGATCTCGATTTTCTCTATTCAATCTTCTCAATAAAACAATTTTAACAATAGAACTACCATCCAGTTTCCTCTCAGATTCAATCCCGAAGGCGCTGTTTGGTTTCAGCAGTTCATAAGATTGTATAGAGTTGTTAGGCCCCATGTCCTTATCAACGGCGCCCTCAATAGCATACTTGGTGCCAACAATAGCCGATTCGGGAATGTACAAAGTGATAACATCCGTAGAAAACGTGGGTTGATTGTCGTTAATATCGACAATAATAAATTTTATTGTGTATAATTTGAGATGCGAGATGACACTTGATTTGACTGTGACCATAACTTCTCTCTCACAATATAACGAATTCTCACAGATAACCTCTCGGTCGATTCGACGAGTTGTGTACACATTTCCATTATTTCCGTCAATTCGGAATAAAGCATTATCCTGAGCATTTGAAGGGTTCAGAAAAGAATATTCCAACAAAGACAATTCCTCTGGACTTACTTCTTCAGCAACGCGGCTTTTCTCGGCTACGCTTCCGACGTAAGTTCCTTTTGGCTGTTCCTCGCGTATTTCGAACGTAATATCTGAACCATGCACCTGTATGTGATTCATCATGATAAGTGTCCACACAAGCTGAAGAGCTAATCTCCGGACTCCGGATATAGTTCCCATGTTCAGGTTGATTAATAACTGTGGAGAGCGGACAATTTGACATGGAGTAGATATGTTTATCTCAATCTTCCTTCTTAAGTTATTACGTAGTCATCATCACCGTCAACAGCAGCTTACAACGCTGAAATTAGAAAGAAGAAATATGAGATAAGGATATGTAAATGTAGGTATTACCATGTCCCTACAGGAAGACCACTTTTCAACTTTATATTATCATTAACTCCACCTACGATGACAGTGTAATTGTTCAAGTCAAAATTGAATATCTTCTGGTTATTAAATCTTAAAGGCGAAGATCAATCATCATATGTAAGCAAAAGGTTGATTTTATTATGTCATCCTGTAACATCAGTTTTATACACTAAAATCTATAATATGCTATAGTATACATAACATACCCTAAGTGATTATTTTACTTACACTCATGTCTAAAGCAAACGTCGAGTATTTAGAACAGATATTACCAGAATATAACCAGAATATACTTCAACTAAGCAATCATAATTAATGAGGTTTAATAATAATTATATTTGCATTATGATTCATTTAAATTTGAATACAACCACTGTGAATAAAATAAAGTCAATAATGAAGTGGTGATCTCACAGTATTCTGACAAGCGGTCGTTATCACGTAATGTGACGCTGAATGCGTTAAGTTTCTGCATGAAAGTCAATGAACGAATCAATGTATGGATGAATGGTTGACTAAATCAATAAATGAATGATCCAATGTTATGCGCGGATGTATTGCAAAATGTGCACATATATGATTATATATATGATATAGTTGATGCAAATATTATGCTTAGTATATTAACATGGTTTAGGTTACCAGGGGGAGTTCATCCCCTTATGGACAGATTGTGCCATGCCACGGCGGAAATCTAATGCAGTCTAATCCAGGATCTGATACAAATGGGTATCTTTAAAAGAAAATGTTAATAAAATAGTCGCATCAAAACCAATCAGAATGGTAATTGATCAAAAGCACGAAGGTCGTTATCATGAAATATGCAATAAAAAGTGTTATATATATATTAGGGAGTCAAGTCACGTGTTCTGCAAGGAAAGACAATCCCTGTAACATTATCTACTCCCTACTATCAAATAAATAATCATACTATCTTATATGATGTCAAACAATGTTAACGATCTTTGACTAGTTCTTATTCAATCAATATGTCACCATTGACAATTTAACATTCAACAACACAGCACTATATCTTTAAGTCATATCACATATAGCTTTAGAGAATAAATTTTCACAAATTGATCAATTTAGTTTTTACATACTAAAACAGCTTTAGTCTGGCTTCTTAGCCTGCCGGTCACTAGGAGAAAAGGAATCAATAGATTTTCTTCTCGATAGAAAAACGCCGAAGATGATAAAATTGTGACAAATGGTTCTATAATGAAGCAAGGCGAAGTAAAATACTATAATTATAGCGAGAAGGATCTGACAGTGTTCTATCTTAAGCCGAGTTTTTTAAACGATGAATTGAGATTGATGGAATTCAGAATGGATCAAATTAAGAAACGACGTATATATATCTACCAACTATCTACCTACAAAATCCGTGAACCACGGTGTTACAGTGCGTCACATTATTTGCTCTAGATGATGTGTCTTCCCACCGTTCGGTTCATATCAATTGGCAGCATTATCTGATCAACATGGACTTAAACAATCGTTGGATTTCTCTAACTGGGTGACTTTCTATTATGTCTTTTAAACAGAGAAGTCAGACTATCCAGCTGATCACATTTGTTAAGAGTCGAACCCAATAATAGTAGGCCAATCACGGCACCACCGACCACCTTAAGCGTTATGGCGAATTTCAATGAACGACACACCACTTTATAAAACGGAAATTTAAAAAAAAATTCTTTGATTCAGAGTTCTAGAACAACCAGATGACAAAAATCGTGAAAACATTAAAGTGATCCGCATAATGTAAGCTACCACTGTTGACAAAATATATTTACATGGAGAGAGAAGGAAATGGACTAATTCCAGATGGCAATAACTAATTCACTTGCCGTTTTTAACACAAGCTAAAAACATCTGTAGGTTGATGAAACATGCATGAATAAATAATGATATTAAATGAATTCACAGTCGCATTACAGTCAGAAGTTAATGGATTTTTTTTTAACATTCAGTTGCCATTTGTTTCAAACTTAAAAATAGCAATGAGCTCACAAAATTAATTCCAAAGTATAACAAGATTGTCAATCAGATCTATAACATTTCAACAATCTCTCTACATTAAAATGTAGTCTGAGACAAGATAGAATAACGTTGGGACGGAGAAAGGCTGTACGACCAGAGACTGGCTTAATTTGTCACTTGAATGGCAAGCCCACGCATGTTACGAATCAGTCCAGAGAAATACTTCACCTGAAAGACTTTTAAAAGAACAGTGATATCTAAGATGCTCTTTCGCTGTTTATCTGTGTCTATATAAGTCGCAATTTGCACAGTGATATCTATTCATATAACAACACATTATTAGCATCCTAACAGTTTCAAATAACCAAAACCAAATACCTTAAAGAGTATGTAAGAAAAAACAACAATTCTTTTTAAAATCGATGTATACTTGGAACATCAAATTATCCCGGCCAAAGCATCCGTAGAATTTAAGAAAGTAGACGAAAACAATATGACGTTAATATAACTTTAATAAATAATAGATGAGTGTAAATCAAATCGACTGAGATAGCATCAAAACGATTTGAAGCCCAACTTGCCAATATTTGGCTATCTATTGAAACTCAATCCAATTGACTAACTGTCTTCCTTAAAGCATATTTTTTCATTAAAGTCGTTTTTCTACGGAAGTATACGTTTGATTGAAAAGTTTAAGAAGCTGTTTGAGTGATGCGACTTCAACTTCTGGTATATTTAATTTAGAAGTAATCAGTGTGCTTTATCGTACTCTCGTATATCAAGTCTTTAATGACATTTCTAGCTAAGGATGGGGAGAACTAAATACCAATCACGATTCTCATCATCAAACGCCTCTTGTCTTTGATGAATGCAAAGAAAAAAGTCGACAAAGAGGGAATTTAAACATTTCTAGGTAAAAATAAATGCAGTTTTAAATAGGAAAAAAATGAATAATCAATCACAGTTGAAGACTGCTATTTTCATTTACATCAAATATCAATAACAACCTAGAAATGATATCCAACATGAAATAAACCAGATAACATAACACTTTACAATCTGGTAGTTGTGCTTGTTCTATTATAGTTTAGTGATAACGTTACATGTTACAGTTTATCATTCAAACGTGACGTCCTCAGATCTTTTGAACAATGAAATAGATGTTTGTTTATTTATGTGACAATTACCAATGCCTAGATATGTTAATCGGGCTTTAAACAACGTGTCATTCAGTCGTAGCTCATTTGTTCATTATTCATCTGCTTCAGATCCCTACACAAGACATTCTAATTGGCAGAGACTGATCTAACACCGAAGTGTGTTAATACAAAATAAATGATTCACTAAATTTAAGTCGTTAGCCGAAAATATACTTTCATACTAAATGCTGATCGTGTGTATACTGTTGAATATGGCATAGCAGAAACAATTACCAATGCCATATTATCACCGCCACTTACACGTATGGAATGGTACGAGAATCCTATCACACTTATTAAGACTGATTCACTTAGCGATTCCGCACATATATCCCTTGTAAGTAAGTTTTCAAACCATTGCATTTCAGAATACTTCTCTACTTATTCTCCTGGACTACAATATGGAATACAATATGAGTCAAGGATTGTCTTTATCTTAAATATTACACAATTCCCCACCTCCATAGCCTTATCTTATACAAACAATTCTACATTTTATTATTAATTTCGCTGTAATCTGTAAGCAAATAATAAAGATCGAGCAGAATGGCGTCTTTCTTTACAGAAACGAATAATAGGCTAAAAACGAACCTAAAGTGAAAGATAAGCATACTGTGAACAGGACCATGGGGTCGTTATCACTACATGAATGTATTTTAATCACCTGATGTTTCAATTCCTTTACAAAAATTGACAACAATTAAGATGAGATTTATTTAAGAAAGTCTTGTAATATGAACATATAAAATGTAAGGAACGAACGTCCTCAAAACGACTGCAAAACATTAAAATCCTTTAGCATGCCTCATCAAGATCAGATTTATTTTTTACAAAAAAAAGAAGAAAAATGCAGATGATGGAGAAAGAACTTCCCTACAGAGTCAATCAGCATCCAGCAGTTAATATCAAGAAAGTAATGTGAACATATGAAATGCAAGGAACTGCGTCCTTGAAACAATAAAAACCTTGTCAGACAAGTAGTACTAAATTCTAAAATCCTTTGAAAGAGCTAGAAAGAAAATCAAGTACAATGTATTTTAAGCCCAGGAAAATCGCCCAGATGACTGTCTGACAAATACAAGTTAATATAGACTTCCACAATCAATAAAAGTAAAGTTATCTATTAAGTGATAGTCAAGATACGGATTGTGTTAACCCGGGTGATAAGATGGACAAACACAGACTGAAGAATTAGTTTGTCTATCCTTGATAATTATACAGTATGTTCCGACACAAACAACAATTTAAGTGTCTGGAATACGACACCTACAAATTCTCTCCAATTGAAATAATATTTATAGACTGCTTTTAAAGCTTTGACTATGGTGATTAAAATATAAGGGGGGCATTACTGAGGTAAGAAAGCTAAAAGTTAAAAGGCAAATTACACTGAAGGAACATGCATATATTCATTGGGAATTCCTATTGTAAATATTAATTGCAATAAAGTTTATGACAGTTTTTAACAAAACACACTGAACGTAAATCAAAGATCGCTATAAAGTGTCATAGTGAAGTGAAATC